GGTAAGTGGATCCACTGGCGCAAGGACCAACGTCAAGGAGGATTGTTTTCACGGCTCGTGCCGTAGAGCTGTAAAGCATAAGCCTGGGCAGGGGCCATTGGGCAACGCATGAAGGGTCAGCTGTTAAAGGTCCAGTTTCGGATCAGGGTCCATTGAAGGTAGAACACAAAAGTCACACAAGACAGCAATGTCGTCCAGATACATGCCAATTAGACCAACTCGTGTTGAGTCTCACCTGAAATTGTACTTTCAATGGGCCTTTGACTCGCCCAAAAACAACATTTGTTGTTAGACCTGGATAATTTTAACGACGTTATGTTTTTCATCAAAGCAGCTGAAAGGGCGGCGTGTAAAGGATTTGCAGTTGGTTGTCGATCCACACCACTTCCCCCAAAGGTACCAGATGAGGTCAGAACTGTTCCTGACACCTCGAGCCTCCAGTGCAACTTTCTGCTTGTCCAAGCAAGGACTAATTGGCCCTCGTGCTATATAGGTAAATAGGAAAAAGCTGCACCAGCAAGACCCCTCTGGCAGGGGTCCTGTTTCAGCATCACACAAAAGTAGGAAGAAAGACAGGCTGAACTCCTCTACGCCGACCTGGTGGAAGAGTTCCTCCTTGCGCAACACCCGGAAGTGGAAAACCCAATGAATGTGGTTTTGACCGAGCGTGCCCGCGCCGCTGTGCAAGCCGTTTTGCATCAGACCACCGGGCGGCCGGGGGGGGGCGATCTGCGAATCGCCGTAGGGAATCGCCGGGAGGTTCTTTGAATCCGGCGATGAGGGTGCCGATTTTAGGCCTGGAGTGGCTTTGGCTGCGTTAAGGGAAAGTGGAGGTGGGGATGATGCGGAGGATGAACACAGGCTCGAGTGTGCGCTGTGGGGAATGGTGTTGGATTGCCATTTGATATCCATGCTGGAACGCTGTCCAATCTACTTTAAAGATCTTTAAAGATGATTAGAATAATGTTATATGTGTCTATAGTGTTGTTGGGTTGTATCTGAAAATAGTAATGACTATACAGTAGGCCCCCCCTGGTAGAGAAAACCATGCAAAATGCGAGATCTCGTCCTGAAGGTGTTCAGGCTCAACGGAGAGACAGAGAGCGAGCCGAACAGGAACCTACAAAGCATGAATTGAATAATAACAAGTCGGTTTTAGCTTTTAGTTTAGTCTGGTTTACCTGTTGATGTTCACTCTTCAAGCTACTCTATTTGCTGCATGGTTTGCTGCAAATTCTTATCATGAGTTGCAGAGCAATGAAGGAGTGTATGTATATACATAATATACTATACACTATCTCTCACGCGTGTTTGTTTAGGTTGAATCGAAGAGTGTTTGACACATTAGATGCTTCAATGGACGATTCACCCAGGATGCTCGGTGCGCGAGCACCATTATTACTTTGCGACATAGCTGGAGATCTTCAATTCGTTCTGGGCACCAGTTGAGGCTTCCACACTTCTAGTGACAATGCTGACTCCTGTTCTTTGCTTTTGCGTCCTGGAGAAAGCACGAGACCTTGGTGCCAGAATCAGAAGCGGCACTGTCACACTGCTCCTGCGGTGTCTACATGGCACGATCTGAGCTGTTGAAGTGAGGCAATACAGAGAACAACGCACTGTCTTGGTTTTCAATTTGTCCGCAAGGATGCGAAACCCTTTTGGATTCGGATCATGTGTGCAATCGAGCTAACCACGCAGAGGCTGTTAGACTCCTGTTCGCAATACGGACAGGTACCAAAGGTCCACTGACCTTTCCCGACCACTCAGTATAGACCTTCAATTCCAATCAAAAAGGTGTCAGATGGGTTCATGGAAAAGAACACGACATACCTTTGAGCGGCTGGATTGTAGCGATTTCACGAGCAAGCAGATCAGTCTGGCTTGAACACCATACGACATCCCAAAAGCTTTCAATAGGCAAACATGCAAGTGGAATGTAGCCTCTTGGAATCTACAGTTGTCCACTTCCATGTTTGTGTCTTTCAGTATTTTTACTTATATAGATAGACACTTGACACTCCTGTTTTGTTGCTCTTAAGACCCTCAGGGTATGCTTTACATCCTTTACCAACCGCAATCAAAGCAGGTACATGATCGAAAAAAGGAGGCTCAGACAAATAGTATTTCATAAATAGTACATTAATTCTATGAGTACCTCTATTATAAACTATATATAGGCATTATTGATATACTGTGTTGATTTCTATTCTCTTATATTGTCTATATCATATATATATATATCTATCTATCTACTTTCTGTAGACCTTCCTCTCACGGACTGAGATCGCTGCATCGACCCCTCTCAAGGTCTTTGCGGAGCGAGGGGAGCGACACGAGCGACACGCTCGAAGGCCGGACGTAGACCGGTCGTGCTCTACACGCATCTAATGGGCGTCGCGATGTTGACCGAGGTTTTTCGGTCGGTTGGAGACCATTCCTTTTGGGTGTCGCCCTGGTGGACCCATGTAGAGGTCAAGCATTGTCATTTGCCACTAGTTGAAACCCACAGCCATCGGTCACAGCTTTGCCAAGCTGTTTGGGTATTGGTGTTGAAACGTGTTGACCAGATCTATATAGTTTCAACATGAACTGAGGGGAACACATTAAAAAACAACATGGTCGATCTTAAAACGTCAGTGGCAGTTTTTGCTCTCTTTGAGATTTAGCCATGAACATGTGATGGTCGAGTTTTGTCTTCACCAACGGGCATGGCCAGTTAACCTTGGCACCTTCACCATTGGTGTTCGAGGTCCGTTTCAATTCGCATGCCATCCTGCCATCCTGTATCAATGTCGGGACAGGACTAAGTCGGTTCGTGTTCTACTTGTATTTGTAAGTACTTGGACCATGCTAAATCATAAGCCAAAGTAGAGGGACAAAAGAGTCTGTAACCACATTATAGTTATGAGTTCTGCAAGTCTTTTCGCCAAGCTGACCGCATGTGTCTTTCAACTTGCTGAGCTGTCGAGCACCGCTGGTCGCTGCCGCTGTTCAATTCCACTGGTCGCCAGGTGAGGTGGTCTATCGCATGGGCGGTCAGTTCTGGCCAACTCGCTGTCATGCGCGGCTCACGGGGGAGCTCCTGCTGATCCAGCGCAGTGGAAAACAGCCGCTTCGCTCGGTGAGTTTTCAATCGGCGCCGCGTTTCGTGGCGTTTTGCACACGGCTTTCGATCGGGTCGTTGGGAAGATCGAAGTAGTTGAAGCGTAGGCAGTCAACGTTATGGATGTTGTGGCAGTCGATGAAACATGTGGAGGTGGCATTCGACGTGTTATATACATTTGGTTTCATTACGTAAACATGATGTGGGTAGAATATATCGTATAATTACTGTTTCCTGATGTGTCATTGATTCGTGCAAGCAATGCTTGATAATGGTCGCACTAATCTGTCGATTGAACATGATTCCCACCAACACTGCTTGGCTGGTGTGGGTCTGTTGACATATATATATATATATGTACTTGGGTGGACTGGCGCAGAGTGATCGACTTCTCCTCGTAAGGCGCTCGTGACACTGCAGCACAGCAGCACACCATACTCACCAAATAGCATATTGCTGGAGTTGGGCTGCTCCACTGAACAGACCTGGATGGTGAGCTACTCAGCTACTCATGAATGGACAGCAGAGTTCTTTACGGCCAACGTTTTTGCTTAATTTGCATTGTCCTATACGGCCTGTTCTTGGCTGCAGCCGACTCAAATTCTGTATCAAGAGCCCGCTCTCCTTTCTGACGCTCTCTTCCCCAAGTCTCCTGCCAACCAGCCAGGTTTTAAGCAAGAGTGTAATATCTCATGAGGCTCATAGTGTTAAAGCTTCCATGCTATATTATATATATATATTTTTAATCAATAGTCTCCAAATGTCTCCAACCTGTTGCACAATACACTATGAGCTAGAGACGAATAGAGCTCGAGAGGCGGATAAACTGTAAACCCCTATTTTGCACCTCTTGACGTACATCACTTCGAGCTATGAACCTCTATCCACCAACTTTGGTAAAGACATTCATTCATGAATAATTCCATTCTGTTCACATTTGTTCACCCATTTCTGAGGCTCCAAACGGCTCCAAACACATCCAGATTGGAGTGTTGGTTGTTCCGCCCCAAATCGGCCCTGACCCGAGGGAAGCCGCCGTGACCTTGCACGGCGCGTCCGTGGAGCTGCGCGCGCAGAGCACCGTGTGCCGCGGCCACCGAGACTGGCGTTGCCACTCCCCGTTTTTGGCTTGTTGATGGACACCGTGGACGGCTCCTTTCGGGGGTAACCTCGTTTTTGAATGGCTATTTGAAAAATGAGACCCCTCAAGATTCAAAAAGGGGGTCCTTTCTGTGGAGGTGGAAGTCATGTGAGAAGAAGAGGATCAACATGGATAAAGAATCATAAAGAATCCTTTGACCCGACATGGTTCTTCCGTAAGGGGGGGGCGGATCGGGAGAACATGATTGGACACCCACAGAATGGTGTGTGGCAAGGTCTTTGGCCCTATTCTTCGCAGCTTTCAACCGGAGAAGTGTACCGGGATTGGTTTCCTGGTGAAGACTGGCCTGCTCTTGGTTCTGACCACCTAATTACCTGGGATGTCAAACGCACTTGGTTGATGGACCACCTCCCCAGGTCCCAGTTGCTGACCATCGAATTGTTAACCCTTTCCACCCAACCCTGAATCGAACGATCAGATCGACAGCACCTCAGTGAGTTGCAACCCGGCCGGCGCCTTGGCCGCCTTGGCCTTAGCCTTTGCCATTGAAAACAATGAGCTGGTCTTGGTCAATCGACCACAATCCTTAATAGAACCTCGGGTCGTTCGGTCAAACCGGGTTGGCCAGGTCGGGTTGGCGCTCGTTCGATGCCCCACGCTGCTGCTCGTTTTCGCTCAAACGCCCACGCCGACAACGCCTAGAAGTGGACTCCGTGAAGAAACGTCAAAGGAAGTTGAACCAAGAAGTATAAAGGAAGTTCTTGAAATTCGATACAAGAGAATTTGTTTGGCGTTTGACTCTCAGGGTGACCTGGTCTTTTTCACTTGGACCCCAATCATGAAGATCAGCTGCCAATCGGCCATGTCGGGAGAGCTGCTCTTGGATCTGGAACTCGAGCCGAGCAACTCTCTGTCCCTTGGATTCCCTTGGTACATCCCAGCAGAGGGAGGCTTCGTCGTATCTTCTAGTTGACTGAAGTGGCTTTGGGTGAAAAACCTGGAACCCTAAACCATCCTAAGCCCTTCTATAGTATAGGTTGGAGGCCATCGCCATAAGCTCGACCTTCCTGGAAAAGTCTATTCGTTGATGTTCGGTGGTTGACCTGGGTCCGGTTTTGATCACAGCCAAGTCTTTCTTCCTTTCGACTTGGCCCCGGAACCTTAATGTGCAAACTCCCCTCTGTCCAGCATCTTTAAAGTAGAAGTGTCCCATGACGAGAAAAAGGGATCCCAAGTAGAAACACTGAGTCAGGTGGATTCATAGGTCTAGGTGGGTGTCTAGTAGACTAGATAGGCCACCTGGTGAGATTCCAATTTTTGCAGCAAGAAGAACCTTATATTCAACGATGCAACATGTCGCTCCACTGCAGCCAGATCTGTGGTAGAGAGCCCGGACCAACACGTTTTCAATGTCCTCGTTCCAAGAGTTCAGAAGCGTCCTGATGCCATATTGCACCACCGCGATCAAAAAGAATCATCATGTTTTAATATTTGCTTTCCGGCCCCTTGATGAACCTACACGTTCAAAACCGTAGGTGACGACCGAAAACGGTTGTCTCCTACGAAGCTCTTCACTGAAGTCTAAGGCAGCAAATAGGCAGCAAGGTCTTCGGAACGATTCCTGCGTGCAGTCCGGTCTTCATGAAATTCAAGCAATTCGAACATCCCCCTGCCGTTGGGTGGTAGGTACTGGTGGATGCCAAGCCAGGTGAATTTATATGGCTTCATGCTTCGAAAGCCGCAAATGTGAGTGGTTCTTCCACGGACACAGGTCTTTCGCATGCAGTTGCCAGTTGCCACACTTTTTTTTTGGCACCGAGTCTGACACTCGAACCCTGAATCCTTGAACCACAGATCGCTCGACCAAGTCTGACTCCCGACTGAGTCTCCCAGCTGATCGGGGGGTCCGGTGGACTCCCTGATCCTCTCGGTCCGAGACAGTGGGGACTTGATGGACCCAATGAGTTCCACAGATATATTATATGGACATATATGGACCCCATGCACATGTCTGAAACCGATGTCCGTATCCGAACGTATCCGTTTTTTTGTTGGGTTGCCTGTGATCTTGCCCAAGTATAGTCACCCCCTGAGAAGGTAGAAAAGTGAATCCATTTTGAACATTTCTTGTAGGAACGCCTTGAGTTCTTACGGTAAGTGTAAAGCCTGGTGTCTTTAGCATGTATCTGGGGCGGGCTTCCGCTGCGCCGGCTCGCACAAAAGTTTCCGACTGTGCAGGCGTCCATTGCATTTCGACTGTGCGTCGCACAAAACTGGTGCGTTCTCGCTGTGGTGCCGTGCACATGTTCGGACTTCGGACTTGGCGGTCATTTTTCATGGCAGATTTTGTCTCAGGCACGGCACGGACGCAGATTTCTTGGCAGGTGCGGCGCTTTGTGGGCCGTGAAGTGCAGATCTCGTGCAAAGCGGAGGACTTTGTGAACCTTGAAGTGCAGATGTCGTGGCAGGCGCAGCACTTGGTGAACGCCGAGGTGAAGATTTCGTGGCAGGCGCAGCACTGTGTGAACCTCATGTAGATTTCGTGGCTTGCGAACCTTACCGTGCAGATTGCCACTCTGTGCGGAGCAACAGGGATGACTCATCATTGTAATTTTCTGCACACTCTTTCGGGTCTACCGGGATAATCGGTGGAGCGGCCAGACGGGAGAGAGCCGTTCTCCCACAGCCGAGGCTGCTGGTCCGAGAGCAGCTGGTCCAAAAGACTCATATCAAAGAGCCCTTCAGTCTGATCCTCGAGGCAGATGGATCCAAGACCCAGACCGTCCATGTACGACCATGTGTTTCCTCGCAGGTAGGCCAATAGACCGTGCCTGGATGGGTTGGGGTTCTAGGGGGTTCTAGGGTGATGACCACCTTCTGGACAATCACTCCCCGAAGAGAGCAGGATAGCTGGGTGCATCTTGTACAAGGGTTTTGTTTTGGTGAGTATTGTCTACGTGTTCAGGAGTTCTTTTGGATAACTTCCAGAGGTATTTTACCCAAGATATTTAGACACTGTTTGCTATCAGGCTCTTCACCAAACGCGTAAAGATCCCTTGACAATAAGCTGGACCAGGGTTTTCAAAGAAGCAACGATTGAAGATTACAGGTGATCTTGGATTCACTTGGGTATTCTTTTTTTGAATCTACTCCAAACAAAATCTCTGCAATGATCCCGTTTAATCCCCCCACAGGGTCAATTGAGCCGATTGGTTTTTTCACGGCAGGGCCAGCCCTTGCGTGGCCGCGAGTCCTTAGAAGCCAACGGCCTCAAAGCAGGTGGGCGATCTTGATGGGATTATGGAGAAACCGAAACCAAAATTTTGCCCTGCGCAGAGGTTCCTGGACCCTCATATATGGAGGGGTCTGGGGTATCAAATCCCTAGATTTGCCAAGGGTTTCTTGGAGCGTGTCACCGACCTTCTCAATGAACGATTTGGATTTCGCAGAAAGACCACCCGGCCTGGACCGTCCATTGTTCATTTTTCCACAGGGGTCCAACGGGGTGAGCCGGGAGGTCTCTTAATGCAGGGCTGGGCCTGGTCCATTTCTAGACCATGCACGTACGTCACAAATTACGGAATCTACCATCCTGGCAGCCAAACGCAGCACTTCTGAACATCCTGAACCCGCAACTCACTTCCAACCATCATTGCAATTCTATATACCTACACACTGTCCGGTGTCATGTTGCTCACTGTGAATCTGAATATATAGTTTATTCAAATTAAGTATCTCACGACGTCACACCTGTACCAACATAGACGGCCTGTGAGAACTGGTGTTGGGATGTTCTTTTTTTCTTTGTATGTGTTTTCCAATAAGTTGCCAGTCTGAGAGGGTCTGTCGTTTCTTGGCCGAGAGCCGAGTGTTTTTGTTGCAATGGACCATTGGTCGCCAGGCAGTGTGGTGGAAGTGATCCAACAGGGAATTCCTGGCTGGACGTGCATCTGTCACGGAGATGAGGTTGGACGCTGGGATGCAGCCACGGTTCCGCAGCTGTTGAGCTGAAATCGGCTGTTGACTCAGTCGACTCCCAGGAAGACAAGCTACTGCTCGTATCAGGCAGTATCAGGCAGTATCATGCAGTATCAGGCAGTATCATGCAGTATCACGCAGTACTACAGACAGCCTGTTTGTTGCTCAGGTGGGATATGATTTTGGGAGGTACTTTGCAGATTGCTGAGAAGCATCAACACAATATATATCCCAGACCATCCATGAGACATTGGGGTAGTTCACCCGAACTCAATGTAGGTAAATACGCCAGTCCCACGAACAGTCTGGGTAAGTATCTCTCTCTGTATATATAGTGGTCCCCAAAGAGTCAGATAGACACGGTTTCCAATAATTACACTATTAGTGACACATGTTCCCATGTTCCTATCTATTTAGGGGATGTCACGGCCGCGTTTGGTCACCACACCTAAGAACGGTCCGAACGGGTAGTCCGCGGCAGCTCCGCTCCGCTGGTGCATGTCAAGGCCGTGAGACATCGGGTGACTTTCTCATTTGGGACGTGCCCTTCAAGGAGGTCGCGGCCTTGAGCGCTCAAGCAACGCGTGTGCGCATCCAGGAGAGGGGGAAACCTGAAATGGCGGTGGAGAGTCTTCCAGACAGTTTCTTGACAAAGCAGAGAGAAACAAAGCAAGCCACCCAGAAGATCGTTTCATCTAGGGATTTTTGGACGGATAGCATATGTATATAGGCTTGTTGATTTGTTCAGGAAATCAGGGTCTCCTGGTTGTTGACGTAGCCGTTTGCTTGGGCGGGTTGGTAGCCAAGTTAAGTTCTTGTTTTTTTTCTGGGCAGTTTGAATTGACAAAGAAACGGAGTGCCAGACAAGCCCCCCGGAAATGCTTGAAATGTGTTGTGTTCGAAAAAACATTGTATGATTGATTATGATTGTATTGTTACAACAAGAAACACACGGTGTGTGGATTCATGTCGAAAGGGATGGTCCAGGGATCTAGAAATTGAAACTTGTAAGACGCCCGTGCTGATACTTAGAGTTTTCCATGCCCAGGCTCTAGGAAACTCTGGCCATTTGAGGATCCTGGCAACCCACAGGATTTACTACTAGCTTTAGTCTGCAGCTTTGGCGCAAGTATCTGGGAACCTTGGTCCTTGGTCCAATCCTTCACCACGAAACCTGACCGGGTCACCTTCCCAGAAAAAAGGAACACATCGGAAAGCTCAAAATACGTGGCTCTGGGTTGCCTGGGCGCCTATACGTGCCTTCCCGCGGCTGGGACATTCCCAGCCCAGGCTATCCCATCCAAGATCTCCGGCGTGGCGTGCCTATTGGCTACGGCCGAGCCTTAATGCGTGAGGAAGTGGATCAAACTTGGACCTCGCCCGCCGCCCGGAGTTTAACAAGAACACACACCGGCGACGGACACGGTGCGCCCCCGTGGTGGGACTCGGGTTGTTCTTGATTCACCGGGAAGTCCGGTGCTCTTAGAAGGTCCGGGTCTTTTGTGCAGACTCCAGAAACTCAAATCGTGAATCGGCTTGAAAACGCTGCGAAGAATACTTTTCGAGCTGCGTCATACCCAGAAAAAAACACTGATCGAGAAGTTCTTGCCATAAGTCCACAGCAAAAGGTTTTAGAAGCCCTTCTGTTTGTATGAAGAAACCATGTTGAATTCTGACGATTCCAGCCGCGGAAACCATGTCCGATCAATGGCAAGCTTCGAAAGAAAATGCCATCAGAGGGGACAAAAGCCAAAGTAAACCTGTTTGACAGCCAGATCTGGTCACACTGTTACAAGTCAGAAGTTAATAATCTCACAATATCTCACACGTGCTAAACCCGATATTTTTGATGGACAATCTTGAAGTTCACTGGAAGCAAGTAGATGACAAGTGGGTTTGGTTTCAAACACCTCACACGCACACACACACGACTCACAAAAGAAACACACGATTTTTGTTTAGGGTTGTTTTCCCGATAGGCTCTATGGATCCCTATGGATGAAACCTCTTCTTGGGAAGTTCCTTTTTGGCTTCCTTAAGCAAATCCAAGCAGGGTGCAGGTGATTGAGAATGATTGAGATGTGTTATTCCTTGGAAAAAGGCTGCCATGCTGCCTTAAGAGGCCTTAGAAAGGGGTATGGATCGGTCTCCTCACTGGGCGATCTCCTCACTGACTCCTGCGATCCTCTGACTCCGGTCGTAGGGATCGGGTAGTGGAACCGACTCAAACTACGACCAGTCAGCCGATCCCAACCTGCTGGCAACAAGCGCGACACGGGTCGAGCCCGGCATCGGGCAGTGCGGGAGGTACAGCCACATAGTGACTTGGGGATGGTTGGTCTGATGGGGTTCATTCCACTGAGGAGGGTGCTATGCCAGACCTTGTGCCAGGCTGGTTTCAGCGTCATGGACGAGTTGGTAGGGTCTGATTCATAAACACCAAGCATTTCGTGAATGTCAGAGGAATCCCTCTAAGGGGCTAGAAGCTCTAAAGCATGGCCAAGAAGGACTCAACACGTTCCATTGGATTTATCATATTACAACGCAAATACATGGATAGCTCAATATTCTACCCAAAAAACACTATTTTGTAATATTACAATATTATATTGGGCACAACCCTCGGATCCTTAATGGTGCTCATCAAAAAAAGACTTGGTACATGCATTGTAGTTATATAATACCGCCAATTGATGATACACCGATACACCGCCCTGCCCCAAACAATCCCCTGCAAGATATTCCATCCACATTCATTGAACCCAAACTTCACACTTCTCTCTCCTGAGACAAGCTGTGGCACACCAGCTCCCACTGGCATCGCAAGCACCACGACAAGCTGGAGCGAAAGATCTATCACTGCTGCGACAATGGAGGAGGGATACATTGGGACCTTTGGCGGATCAAGAATCTCCAGGAAGGCCGTGTCCGGTCAAGTGGGTTCTTTTGGATCGCGCGCTCTCGTTGCTCTCGCTCTCCAAAGGTGAGGCCTCTCCTCGAAAGGAAGAGCATGTTCCTGTATTTCCAGCAAAACACGACTTGTTTTGTTGGTAGACCACTCACCTGGGACATCCACTCGGAACAGCTTGAGGTTTGGAGAGGTACTCCATGGTCTCTACACACCTTCAGATGTGGATGGTTGAGCTTGGACCCTTTAGTGGATTGCTATTGATGGTTGGAATACTCACATCACATCACCAGACGCATTCGGAACAAAACAAAGGGGTAGTGGGTGAGATGGTAAACTGGATCAGTCCTGCTTCACCACAGGTCGCATGCTTTTTCCGGGTCGACCGTGGGGTGAATATATTAGATTCTGAAGAGGTAGTCGACCTCAGACCTGTTTCGCGGGCTCCCATTCTTTACATGATTTATGTTTCTATACTCATAGCATCTCATAGCTTGGATTTACGTGAATTCATAGATCCGTAACCAGATCAGCCAAAGTCCCCAGATGACCTGGCTGACCTGGCTGACCACACTCCGTCTCCACACTCCGTCTCAGGACCGGAAGATCTGTGGATGGACCGTGGGCGGCGGATCGGATCTGGAGCTGTACATTGATGTCGCCTAAACGCTCCGAACTCGGCTCCGAACTCGGCGTCCCAAGCGAGAAGGAACTGAAGTGCGCCAGAACCGGCGGCCCCCCCCCCTGGCGCGGAGGTCGCCTTATAGGGCTTGGTCCTGTCTTCAAACCGCACGGAATCGTGAACAGATGATTTGGAGGTTCTGGCTGATATATAAGGTTTTGACCCACTCCATCTAAAACAAGGTGGTGGGGTCCAGTCAAGCTCGTGGTAAGGATGTTAAATGGATGATTCAACACCCTGACCTCTTACTACGACCATTTACAGACCACGTGTTTGACTTCTGAAGAGATCCATGAGTACAGATGTACTTCAGGCTGAAGCAGCACTGCTTGACTCCAACAAGCCTGCACGCTTGCGCAGAGAAAACGTGTTGTTTTTTTGCAGGTGCAGTCAAGTGCACCGCGCGTGGAACTTGCTGCGACTCACAGGGGGGTGGATGCGGTTGAGATGTATGGATCTGGTCAACAGGAAGGATTAGGGCTTGACTCGAACTGTCTCCATTTCAATCTTCGGTCAACTCGAACCTTGGTCCATGACTTCACATTGAATGAACCACTGGACAGCTGCAACATGCTACAATGTGCTACAGCACTGGGAGCATTCGTTCTTCAGAACGAAGGGAGCCACGAGATACTGGAGGAATCCACTAACCATTCGACGGTTTTTACGGCGTGTTGGTGGCCAGGTGAGCATTGAGAGGCAGACTCTTGACGTCATCATACTCCGTTGCGGGAAAGCTCCGCATCCACGGCCGCCCTCCAACTTCACCCCTGTTTGATCACACCGGGTGTGCTCCTTTCTTGCGTGACAAAGCCATACCACCAGAAATGACTCATAACCGGTTCAGACCCTTTTGATCTGCTGCTCATCCGAGCCTCCACTTGAGGTGTATTGCTGTGCCGGGTAGCCCATTGCTGGCTTTGCGCTTGGACAATGATCAGGTGCACGTTGTTTTTGGGCCGTACGCCGTAATTACACACAACTGGTTGAACATTCAGTTCAGAGGTCCGTTCTTTTTTCCAAACGTGTTCAGTACGCCAGGACCGGCAAGAGTTCAAACTTTGTGTACTAACATGTGCATGCTTCTCTCACCATGTAGTTGACAACGCTTCCAATGTGACACAGAGCCCCATCTTCCGATCATTCGTTGGATCAAAGCAGCCCGGGTGCTGAAATACCGCGCCCCGGTGCAGAGAATAAGGAATAAGGATGTATCAGGTATAGTTGCCTGGATGTCCTTTTCATCCCTTTTCTGTATAAGGTATCGAAGAGCGGATTCCATAATTTGACCTTTTCTTTAGTAGGATTTTCGTCACCCTTCTGAAGGCTTTGGTTAAAAACACACCTGATGACAGTTGTTTTCGCCACCTGCTTTGTTTTCCTTCTTGCGATCTTCAGGAGGCAGCGAAGTGGCATAGGGCATTACAAGATGCCGCGCATCGAGCCAAAGGCTTCAAGGAGGGACGTCGATGTGCCCACCCACCACAGACCCAGGGACCGACCCACCACCACCACGTCCGACCCGGCGGAGCAAGCGGCGACCGACTTCAAGGGCAGAAAACGCTGTGCTGCACAGCAACCGGGTGAGAAGTGTCGTGAGAAGTGTCGTGAGAAGTGTCGTGAGAAGTGTCGTGAGAAGTGTCGTGAGAAGTGTCGTGAGTGAGTGAGTGAGTGCTGACACTTTTTTTCCTGATCGCGATCGGCCGATCTCCGACAAAGCTACGAGGACTTGATGAACGGTGTAGTGCCTCTGATGCTTAGTCCTCGTAGCACCTTGGAAGCATCAAAAAGAGTCGAGTCCGTCGTTCGGACGAGAGTCGTCATTCGGACGAGTGTCTTCATTTGTGAAAGGGGAAAAGAAGGTGGCACCTGTTTGATAGGATGGAAAGTGTGTTTGGACGTAGTGTAGATGATGACAAGAGATGGGATTTAAGATTGCGTACTACAAGGTATAGTCCTGGTTCTTCAAACTGACCTTTTGATATGTACATACATACATACATACATACATACATTCATACATACGTACATACATACATACATACATACATACATACATGGCTCAAGGCCACTAGAGGTTCAAGTGGGCATCCCACGAAGACCCACTGGTGCGGCTCCCCCAAGCGCACATAGCACCAAGAACCTGCACACCTCGATCCTGAGCAAGTCCCACTACAACACATTCTTTGCTAGTCATCTGGCCTACTCCTTCCACGCTCCTGAGTTGCCGTACGGTGACCGGCAGTTTCTCGCTCTCTTCATCGTGGAGGACATCCTGATACACACCATCTTCAAACTCCCTCGGCCTTGGGGACTTTGACAACTACCGGCCTCCTTGACTGAAGAGAACTTTGGCCAGAACGTGGAAGGTGACGAGATCATGCAGTGGGGACGCAGCTACATGACATGTCAGAATCAGAACTGTCACAACTGGATCTGGCGAGACAAGATGAAGCCAGGAACACGTTGCAGGAAGTGTGGTCAATGGTGGGATCACTATGCCAACACCGGCAAAGGCAAAGGTCAAGGACATGGTCAAGCCAAGCCTCTTGGACATGGCAAAGCATGGCCAAAGAAGACACCTGGAAACCAGATGCTTGATAGCCCACCAGGACTACATCGGCCACGACCTCTAAAGCAGAACAAAGACCAAGTTGCAGCAGCCGAACTTTTGGCCACAACTTGGGAGGTGATCCCGGAAGCTGTCCAAACCAAGCTCATGGCACTCGGCTTTGGACCTCCACCACCAGAAGAGCCTGAATTGACCGAACTCCTGAAGACTCACATGACGGCGCTGCCACAGGAAGTTCAAGCAGTGGTCACTAAGCTGACCCAACCTTTGCCTGATACCGAAAAGGATCTTGCACAAAAGCTCAAGGCGCAGGTGGGGGACTTGAAGTCTGTCTCAATCAAGAAGACCCAGCTTCAAACCAAGCTAGATCAAGTCAAGAACCAGTATGCCTCCATGCTACAAGACATGCAAGAACTACAGGGCAAGTTGAATGAAGGTCAGAAGCGGCTCAAACACCTGTCGGATCAATACATGAAGATCACCACCATGACCCCACAACCCACGGGCCTGGAACCTGATGAACCAAAGGACCTGCCCATCCCTATGGCCGTCGAAACCTTTGTCACGAGTCTCGGAATAGATCTGTCAGAAGAACAACGATCTCAACTCCATGGACTCTTGAAGCGGACAAAGGCTGATGAGGACGAAGTCAACAAAAGACGCAAGACGGACACAGAAGGGCCACCGACAGGGGGGGCAGTGTGGGTAACACTTTTTCAAAGACCACTACTAGCATCCCGGCGTTTCAAGTGCCGATTCCATGGGATGATTTTGAGGCACACCCAACACCGGTTTGCCGTGCTGCATCCGGCTCAATCCAGCAGGGGTACTCCTTTGGAGGTGCAGGGGAACAGACACCTATCAACCCACAGGAGGACACCACACCAAACCTTGGGGATACTCACATCACTGGTGAAGGGGAGTTCACCAGACACCAATCCATAGCATCCTTACCACCAAGGAGGCTCAATTTTGACACGTTAGCACAGCCTGCCACCGACACTGATGGCGAGCTGTTGGGAGCTCCAGGAGCTCAAGTGATCCAGATCAAAGGTGGTGCCAACTACGTCAAGCAGACGCACCACCAGGCAGACACCAAACCCAGAATGCAGAACACCTACGGCTCCACGACAGAATGCATTTTGCAGAATCTGTCGATGTCAGTTGGCAATCCCAGCTCCAGATGTTTTGCCAATGCCCCATGGAGAGCGTTCACCTGGACCTGTGCACTTCTACAAGAAACGCACACCGAGCCATGGGGAAATCTCTATGATGCAGTACAAGAATCCCTAGAACTGGCAGAGATTGTCGACATCCAGACATTGCCTGGCCTGCACAGACTATGGAAGAAACATGACCTCAATGTCCAAGGCGATGCGAACCACTTCGTCAATACCCTCTGGAACCACTCACAGAGCCGAGCTTTTCACTATCGGTTCGCAGAGATCCAAGAACGAGGCTATTTGACAGACTCTGTGCAACAACCGCTCCTGGTCGACTTTCCAGACACCTGGCCTGAAAACACCACACTGCAGAGCTTACTGAATGGATGGGCCAACGAAGGCTGTGGTCGCTACCTCATAGATGACAAAGCCATTCTGGTCATGCACATCACCAGGAACACCAACCTGAATGGGGTAGCCACCAAGCACAAGAAGATCCTGAATCCATATGGCACCTTCACGGTACCTAGATCCATGGATGGCTTCGCAAGAGCTTCCACGGAATTCGTCCCATCGGTGCTGATCTGTCATCGTGGGGCGAATCACGAGTCCGGCCACTACTTTGCCATCCTGATCTACAGAGATCTCATGTGGCTTGCGTGATTGGTCCCTAACTCTGAAAGTGTGACCCTTGATCACTTCCCTCACTCCAGTGGAGTCAACAGAAACAGGGCAAACCAAACAACCACCACCTGCGCTGTACCTGGCCCCCAAATAAGCACCAAGCACCATCCTCTGACCTTGCCACTTCTGTGCGTGAACTGGCTTCACAAAACCCAAACAAACCTTCTTTCATGATCCCCACAGCACGTTCTACACCTTTGGCCTGTGGACGATGCTCTGAAATGTTCCTCCAATGGAAGCCTCGACAGTTGGACTCTCTCAGAGACCTCTGCATCAGGTTCAGCAAGTAGGCTTCGTTGTCAGTGGCCACTTCCAAAGACAAACCTCCAACACCGATCTCATTCAAAACAGAGACAGTGGACTTCACGTCCTTCTCCCGGTCACCACCTAAAACCACCAGACCGATCATGCCAGTCTGAATCATGAGCAGAACCAACACCTTCCAGTGCCTTCCACCTACAAACATGATGTCAGCTGCAAGATCACATGTGCTTGACTCCTGGTCCTTTCGTCTCCGTGCGGGCGTCCGACCTCTTGCCTGAACACACGCATCACACCCTCGATCATATGGCCAATGTCCTCGACACTCGTGCTCATACAACAAACTGCCCTCCAGCTCGGGTGATGGATCCTCCAAATCCGACGAATGTGGACCTTCAGGGTCATAATGGGGCAACTCCCCAGGTGGTTCGCCGACATCGGAACCTGCCTCAACCATCGGACCTTCGGCCTCCGCCTCCGGACCTACCTGATCGGGGATGGAAGGAGTGTACTCCTCCATGTCATCACTCTCCAAATCAG